TGGAGATTTCTGAGAACAAGTCAGGGCAAAGATAATCAGATTTCCTTTTTTTGACAGGTTTCTGAACTGACAGTTCACAGAGCTGTACTTGTTGGTAAATCGAGTCTTCAGCAAGGCCTTTAACAATCTCTGCTATGATATTCTTGTAGATTAAAATAGAAAATATGGGTTGGATGATAGTATGATTAAGAGGGAAAGTAACCTGCTAAATGACTAGTGTAGCCTTTCTAGGATCTAAGAAATTAGCACTTGAGGCAAAGCACTTATCCCAGCAGATTGTGATCATATCCTATCCTGGGTATAGATGTTGCTAGAAATGGATGGCCAAGGTCCCTAGACCCAGTATTAGAGGCACTTTGTGGGGATTGGGGTAAAGAGGTAAGAGGAGGAAGTCGACCTCACTTTAGGTCATGGGAGGAAGTCTAACAGAACAAAATGTGCATGGAAGTAGCATCCTGGCAGGTTGTTTATTTGTGTTGTGATAGGTCAAAAATGGCCACAAATTCTTTACATCTTCATCAATAGGTTGTCTATGTCCCCTCCTCTTGAATATAGGATGGACCTGTGACTTGTTCTGACCAATAGAATGTAGCAAATTTGTCATTGTATAACTTCCAAGACTTGATCTTAAGAGAGCTTCCACTCCCTCATATGCATTTGGAATACTCCTTCTTAGAATCCAGCTGCCATGTTGTAAGCAAGCCCAAGCAGCCACTTGGCAAAGCTCACATGGAGGAGAATAGAGATCTTTGGCTAATAGTTCCAGGTAAGCTCCCAGCCAGCAACCAGCAACAACTTTCCGCCATGTGAGTGAGGCCATTTGTACCTTCCAGACTTTCTAATACCCCAGCCAACACTATATGAAACAGAAGAAAACCCGGTTAATACACAGAATTTTAAGAAATAATTTTTGTTTTAAGAACCCCATTTTAGGGTAATTTTTTGACCAGCAGGCATTGGCAAACTTCTTCTGTAAAGGATCAGAAAGCCGGTCATAAATTCCTAACTGGGCAGGTTATGGTGGGTAGTCATGTCCAGGCATATAACTTTTGAGTAAAAGGCTTGTCTTTGCTTTAAGCAAGCCCTCTTCATTGTTTCTGTGCATCTAGGTTAAAACACTTTTGAAATAAGCCATAAACACCCTCAAGAAAGCACATAACCTTGTTAACTATCCTGTAATCCAATAATCCCCTTGCTTTTTCCCACCTCCTCATAATCTTCCTTACATTTTTTCCTTAATTTCAAATGCATAAAAGAAGCTATAGAACTCATTCTCAGGAGCATTTGAGATCTTTCTCCCTGGCACATTATCAGTTGGGCCCAAACTCCTACAAAAATTCTCTACAGGTTTGGACATTTCTTACATCGACATAGTAAATATTTTAGGTGTTGCAGGCAAGACGGCCTTTGTTGCATTACTCAACTCTGCCATTGTAGCACAAAAGTAAACACAGAAAAATTTATTAGAATTCAGCCACACTCACAGGTCTACCATGTGCTAGGCATTATTCTATGCCTGTCTGATCTACAGTGAAATATAAATGTAAACTGACAGGTGCATATTAGGGTACTGTGAGTGGGTAGAGGAAATGCCACTAACCAGTTGAAGGTAGTAGGCAGGGAGAAGCAGAGAGCCGGGTGATTCCAGGCAGATCAACATGGGACAGGCAAATATTAAATTCAGATCCCAACTTTAGGCAGGTCAACATAGCAACTTCCTCTTCTAAGTGTCTCCCTGATGGGATTAATATTTCACCTGACAAAAGTGAGAGTGGAAAGAGCTGGAGAAGGTTACCTTGGGTCTATCTCTCTAACACCAGTTCATGTTGGACAACTGAACAATGTTGTCCTGAAAGTTTCTGACCTTCTGGATCTTCTTGAAGCAAGAAGTTTACTGATTCTAGGTACTCCCGATGGAGGCCAGTGAGGCTGGTGTTCATGTCTCAGTGGACTCTGCCTGTTCCTGAGGGATAGAGCAAGTGTTATTCTTTTTCCTTGCTTCCTGGCCACAAAGTGTCCTGGGACAGGTCTGTGACCCCTAACCTCCCATCAATCTTGTCTTCTGGACATTATCTAGACACATGGAAGACACATCTCCATTTTTCCTTCTTCTCATTTTTCAGATGGGGAGCTAATCTGACCTATCCTCACTCATCGGCCAGGCATTTTCCTCAGTATAGGCTGTTAGGGTTGGCTTTATCCTCACCAACTCCTTGGTGAATAACTCAACCTTTGTGCTCTAAAATAACTTATCAATAGTTCTTTTCTTCTCCCCTTCCAATATTATCAAGACAATCATAAACATTTATTTAAGTTATATTAACAAATATTTATTCAGTGCCAACCTTGTGCCAGGTTCAGGTCTAGGAACTAAGGATATGGTAGTTCCTAGAGGATATGGATAAGAAAGTTCCTGCATTCATGGAGCTGATCTTCTGAGGGAGACAGACAATAATAAATAAATGTCTAATGTTGGGTAGTGATATCTGCTCTGAAAAAAAAAAATCAAGCAGCTTAAGCAGATTTGGGTGGGGGACTATTCTACATAGGCTGGTCTAAGAAGATTTCTTTCATAAGGTGCCCTTTGAGTGATTTGAATGAAATATGGGGCAAGAATATTTCAGGATAAGTGAACAGCAGCACAAAGGCCTTGAGGCAGAAAGAAATAGGGTAAGTTCAAGGAATAGCAATTAGGCTAGTGGGGCTAACGCAGGTAGATAGTGATAGATAAGGGTAGGGAAGAGAGATAAGAACCAGATCAGATAGTTCTAAAGATTTAGATTTTGTTCTAAATAAAATGGTATTATGTGATTTTTGCTGACGAAGATTTTCCTGGATGCTGTCTGAAGACTAGACTGGGAAGGGGGCATGGAGAAGGTAGAAGTAGGGTGATCAATTAAGAGGCTGCCATATTACCCAGACCAAAGAGATGATGGTGGCTTGGTCTGGAATGGTTACAGCAGAGTTAGTGAGTGATGAATTCTGATGATTTGAAGGTAGCACTGACAAGACTTGCTGAGGACTTGAAAATGTCATTTGAGAGTAATAAGAGCACACTGAGGACATCTTTTAGATTTTGGGCCTGGGGAACTAGAGGAACAATGGTGCCATTCTCTGAGGTAGCTAAGAGTGAGACTGGAGTGCAGGGAGTAGTTTGTTGGGGGCAGGATGTCTCAAGTTTTGAGATACCAATACAATAGGCAGTTGAACAACTCTGGAGGTCTGGGCTGGAGATAGAAATTATGCAGTCATCAACTTACAAATACTACAAATCAACCCTAAGGAGTCAGTATAGAGAGAAAAGAGCAACACAACTGTGGCCTGGGGCCTACTACAACAGAGGAAGAGGTGGAGAAGAAAGGCCAGTGAGTGAAATCAGGAAAGCCTGGTGTCCTGGAACCCAGTAGAAAGTGGATTCTGTATGAGCACAATCAATGGCCAACTTCTGAGCCTCAGTTTTCTCATCTGTGAAATGGAGACAATAACAACGGCCTACTTCACAGCGTTGGTGGAATTAAATTAGATAAAACATGTAAAGCAGTTAGGCTTCTGTCTGATTGGCATATCATAAACTCTCAATCTATATTATCATTCCCACCACAGCAGAGTTGGCTGCCAAAGCCCTCAGCTTCTCCATCCACATATATGACAGCAACTCTATGAATTCTTCTCAGGTGGTGAGGTGTTTCTGCTCACTCAAACACTGGAGTGGGCCTGAGGAGTAGCCTCGGGGTCAAACTTGAACCAAGCCACTTGAGTGCCTAAGCCTCTCACCCACACAGCCTCCAGTCCTTACTTGCAAATCAGACTAAACATGTGGTACATAAGTTTGGAGCCAGAGTTCTGCCTCTCTGCCTGTCAACAGCTGTGTGATTTTTCGCAAGCTTCTTAACCTTGCTGAGCCTTGAACTCTTCAGCTGTAAAATGGGGACAATTCCGGTTTCATAAAATTGTGTCTAGGCCAGTGGAGACTGTAAATAAAGTCGGCTGCTCTCCTGCATGCCTGCATGGGAGTTAACCGAGGCTCCCTGCCACCTTCCCAATCAAAGCATGTCTCGGCGAGGTGAGATGCACTAGAACAGGGACACATACACCCAAAACCGAGCTGGGGTGGGGGGCGGCTCTGGGATTCCCCTAGCCTGGGTTATACGAGAGAAGCGGAGACTCATACACTTTCTTTCAGCAGCGCGCCGCAGGCCGCCAGGTGAGCCATGTCTTTTTTCAGGGGCCCTACATCCGTACAGGCGCTGGCTAAGGGTTGGGATTCCGAACGTCTCAGAGAATCCCTCAGCAGCTGTCCCACCTCCCGCAGGGCGTCGAAGGCCGTTCCCTGGACAACTTTTCTCCACTCCTTTTCCTGACCTCCCCCCAGGCCCACCCAGGCCAACCCGCTGGAACGCCGCCGCGATGAGGAACCCCAACCACTCAAGACAACGACGCGTTTGCTCTCTTCTCCGCCCTCTTCTTTGTCACTGCACCGCAGGCCCAGGCCCAACCCCAGCCCTTGAACACCCCAGGAAGTGGCGGTGCCCAGCGAGGGCTGCTCAGAAGACAAGGAGCAGCTTGATAGTGACCGAAGCCCCAAGACGAAAGCTCCGGAGGACAGCGGTTCGCGGCTGATCATCGGAATCCGAGTCTCAATGTGGGCAGCACTGCTGGCACGGTCGAGGGGACAGCTAGGCGCTGGGGGACTGCCAACCGCCTCCTCGAGGCGGCTCCACCCCCGTAGCCCACCCTCCAGAGTCCCCGCCTCCTCACCTCGACCCCGCCCCTCCTCCCCGCGCCCCAGAGGC